TCTGTCTGTCCTGCTCACATCTCCAATGGTTGTACACGTTGTCATTAACGTGGCTTCACTCCACATCAGCCACGCTGCTTTGCTAGCTAAAACACCGGTGTCGGCACATTAGGACGCTGTCAACAACGTTGATTAGCTGCGTATATACGAATGTGAATCGCATTATTGGCTGGAGCAGCCAGTCACTGACTGACTCACACTGCAAAACAGAATGAATTGTTAACGTATTTATTTTAATTTCAATTCAGGTCAGATTTTTGTTTTGTTTTTTGTGCGCAATGCAGATTTTCTGTGCACAGAGACTGTGCCAGCCGTGCGCGATTACGCACGCGCACAGCTTGGAACCCTAGCACCACTCTAAATACAGGCATCTATTACTGAATAGACAATTCTATGCTTCAAACACAGGTGGCTGTTCCAGCAAAAACAGATGTGATGTAGAAAGGCAGTGGAGTGGTTGCACATCGCTAATGCAAGCACACACAAGCTACAGGAGAATGCCACCTACAGCTGTGACTGTGGTATTATTAAAAGGAATCCATACCTGGTACTTCAGCTACTTTTGTAGGTGGATTTGAGGAAATGGTCTTTATCTGGGGGAGAAAACAAATGTCACTTACTAGATCACATGATCCAGTATCTTCAAGGTTTTCTTGGTTTATAATCTAAAAACTGAACTACTCCAGGAAAAGCACAAGTAGCTTCCAGCCAAATGTACACTATCTCATGTCAATACAAGCCCATGTAGCAAATACAGGATATCCTTAACAAGCACCGGACCCGCGCCTTACTTCCTCGATACAATATAATTGTGCAGTGAGGCGATTACTGTGCCACTGTGATTGTGTGAGCTAACCTGCTCCCTCTGAGCCTTGATGGTTTGCTCCTTTTCCTGCAGCCTCTTCCTCATCTCCTGCTGCTGCCTCTGGCTTTGCTCCTGGTACTCTGATAAAGACGACTGCATTTTGCTCAGCTCATTCAGCAGCTGGAAGACAACGGGAAGAGGATGAATTTTCCGGCTGGTTCATTTCAAAAGAAGCTTGTTTAATACTGCATATGCTTTAATCAGGATGAACATTAAAGCATACCTGATTCTTTTCAGACTCGTGTTGAACCTTCATTTCTTGCAGTCTGGATTCCCACTTCTTATCCTATAAGAGTCATTTTTAGCAATTTAAGTGGCATTAAAAATAAAATCGCTTTGGGGTTTGCAACAATCTCAGGACTGACCTGTTTCTTCAGCTGGTGTTCCAGCTTTTGGATGGCTTGGATCTCTTTGTACATGTCCACATCTCTCTCTGGCTGTGAGTGCACAGGGCTGGCTGACCTTTCATGCTTGGCTGTCTGATTCTGATTTACTTCCTATGAATGGAAACAGATAAGAAAGATTATAGGAATGATTAAGACACCCTGAAGATCAAATCAGTGGTATACAAAAAAATACTGATTTCATACATTGAGAGCCTGAATATTTCGGTTGTAAAGAAATTCCATCTCTCTGCGCATGCCGTCCCTGCTGTCTTCTATCTTTCTGTCCATGCGCGCCATCTCCTCGGCCTTAAAACGGTCCAATTCTCTCAACAGGTCTTTGTGCATCGATTGTTGTTCTTGTTCCTAGAATCACAACCGTTAACATGAGCTTCATTAGTGACCACAAAGCTCTCAAAAAAAAGCTTTCGCACTGTGATCCATATCTTACAATAAAATAGCAGCATTTTGTGATGACAGTGTTACAAAGTGAGATTAGTGGATAAGCTAGGAATATAGACAATATGGAAAATTGCCATTTTAAAAAAAGACCTATTTCTAAAGTGATTCTGGCTTGAATTTATTTTCTGGCAATGCAGTAATACAGTGTAACAGGGGTATTGGGATCAGTAGTGTCATCATTTCAGTTGTTGTTGTTGATTAGGAAGAAAAAGGATGTCATGTGCTTTTCTGGACCACAGGAGGGCCACAGTGCTACAAGCTAATCCAAAAGTCTATTATCTATTATTATAGGATATAGTGTACAATCTAAAGCACCTTGAGTCGACTGTTGTTGTGATTTGGCGCTATATAAATAAAATTGAATTGAATTGAAGTCAAGCTCCATCATGCTGTAAGATTGTGTCAGTGCCCCAGAAAAGTGTTACCTTCACTTTAGCCAAGGCACCATTGATGCTAAAAAGTACACTGAGATCTTAAAACATCATGTAAAGGCTTCAAGACACTTTTTTCCATGAGTATCTCACAAAGCTGAGAACCCTTTTGGCATAACAACATTGCACATCTTACACCTGTAAGAAGAACCTTTTTCTTCTTTTTATTAAGAGTTTTCCAAATAGTAAATATTGTATTATTTTATTGTAACCCAGGCCAAAGATAATTTACAAATCACAGCTTTCAGTTTTATTTGATTAATGTTTTCTGATTAAAGTTCAGATGTTGCTTTGTGATCCTACCTGAGCTATTTTGGCTTCTAACACCTGCTGTTGCTGAACAATCTGTTCCTTCAGACTGCTGATCTCCAATTTGAGACTATTAATCTCAGATTTCTGCTCACTGTGGGAGTTCAGCTCTGAAAAGACAAGTGACAGTGACATACAGTGGCTTGTAAAAGTATTCGGCCCCCTTGAACTTTCCCACATTTTGTCACATTACTTCCACAAACATGAATCAATGTTATTGGAATTCCACTTGAAAGACCAACACAAAGTGGTGCACACGTGAGAAGTGGAACGAAAATCATACATGATTCCAAACATTTTTTACAAATAAATAACTGCAAAGTGGGGTGTGCGTAATTATTCAGCCCCCTTTGGTCTGAGTGCAGTCAGTTGCCCATAGACATTGCCTGATGAGTGCTAATGACTAAATAGAGTGCACCTGTGTGTAATCTAATGTCAGTACAAACACAGCTGCTCTGTGACGGCCTCAGAGGTTGTCTAAGAGAATATTGGGAGCAACAACACCATGAAGTCCAAAGAACACACCAGACAGGTCAGGGATAAAGTTATTGAGAAATTTAAAGCAGGCTTAGGCTACAAAAAGATTTCCCAAGCCTTGAACATCCCACGGAGCACTGTTCAAGCAATCATTCAGAAATGGAAGGAGTATGGCACAACTGTAAACCTACCAAGACAAGGCCGTCCACCTAAACTCACAGGCCGAACAAGGCTGATCAGAAATGCAGCCAAGAGGCCCATGGTGACTCTGGACGAGCTGCAGAGATCTACAGCTCAGGTGGGGGAATCTGTCCATAGGACAACTATTAGTCGTGCACTGCACCAAGTTGGCCTTTATGGAAGAGTGGCAAGAAGAAAGCCATTGTTAACAGAAAACCATAAGAAGTCCTGTTTGCAGTTTGCCATGAGCCATGTGGGGGACACAGCAAACATGTGGAAGAAGGTGCTCTGGTCAGGTGAGACCAAAATGCAAAACGCTATGTGTGGCGGAAAACTAACACTGCACATCACTCTGAACACACCATCCCCACTGTCACATATGGTGGTGGCAGCATCATGCTCCGCTTCTCTTCAGCAGGGACAGGGAAGCTGGTCAGAGTTGATGGGAAGATGGATGGAGCCAAATACAGGGCAATCTTGGAAGAAAACCTCTTGGAGTCTGCAAAAGACTTGAGACTGAGGCAGAGGTTCACCTCCCAGCAGGACAACGACCCTAAACATAAAGCCAGGGCAACAATGGAACGGTTTAAAACAAAACATATCCATGTGTTAGAATGGCCCAGTCAAAGTCCAGATCTAAATCCAATCGAGAATCTGTGGCAAGATCTGAAAACTGCTGTTTACAAACGCTGTCCATCTAATCTGACTGAGCTGGAGCTGTTTTGCAAAGAAGAATGGGCAAAGATTTCAGTCTCTAGATGTGCAAAGCTGGTAGAGACATACCCTGAAAGACTGGCAGCTGTCATTGCAGCAAAAGGTGGTTCTAAAAAGTATTGACTCAGGGGGGTGAATAATTACGCACACCCCACTTTGCAGTTATTTATTTGTAAAAAATGTTTGGAATCATGTATGATGTGACAAAATGTGGAACAGTCCAAGGGGGCCGAATACTTTTGCAAGCCACTGTAGCTGCATGTAAGCATGTTATCAACATGCTTCATATTTTTTCTCCATGTCGTTCTTCAGATCAATCCTAACTTCACTTACTGCTCTCGTACTCATCAGGGTGCCTCCGCTGCATGTGATTCTGCAGAAAGGAGGCATTGAGGAACGATTTCTCACAATGCAGGCACTAAAAGCAAGAAAGAACACAAAAATGCATTAATCAAATTGGCTGCAGAAATAAATCGCTACGTAATAACTCAAAATTTATAATAAAAAATCTTTATCTCATCATAAACACACCAATGCTACTATTATTTTACCACACTGTGGTGGACAGTGCTCTCTTTTATGCTGCAGTGTATTAAGACTGCATAACACACGCTTACAGGCACCAACAGCTGGAGACCTGACAGCTTTGTAGTCAAGCTGCATATATAGTTGGTGTATTGTAACGTCAATTATCTGCGGACTAATCTGCTCAGTCAAAAAACAGACAGGTGGACTGTCCAATGGGACCCAAGCAGACACTAGCGGACTAAAAGTTTTTTTTGTCTGTCAGTGCAGCCTGACAGACAAAAACACCAAGTGGCTGATGTTGGCAGGAGACTGGACTTACTTAGGACTCTGGAGGAGAGAGAGCACATTGAACAGACACCCTCTCCACAGCCTCCTTGCTGGCAGAGGAACAGCAATCACTTACACCTTCTCTTACTAAGGAAGAGCTTTATGAATCAGCTTTATTTTATCAAGTAATTGCACAATAAAATAAAGAAATGCTATTTTATAACTTTTTGTTTTTTTCTCCTTAAAGAAGTTACAATAGTAACAAAATAAGGTAGCAGTTAAAGAACTGTATCAGTAAGAATATTATCAGTACCCTTAAAATTTTTTAAAATATCCATCTTTATGTGAGGTGTTTCATTTTGCATAAATTGTAACTGAGGAATCTGTGATAACCGATCTTACAAACTGATACTAATTCCTAAGATTTCACAAATGTAGTGGAGCAAACCACCTGTCTGTGTGTTCATGAATGCAGCATGTGTTTGATTCAGACAGAGCCCAGCAACATAAACATGCTCCAAACGGCAGCATCCTGAGTTTAGGCTCATGTTTCCAAACAGACACATAGCATGAGTGATGATCCTGTTTCCCTGCGGCAGACATCGCCACACACCAGCTCTCACACACACACACACACACACACACACGCTACATTTAACACTGCCTCTGATTGTTCCTGGGACTAAATATTGCTACAGATATGTTGTCAAAACATATGTTAGCAAAAACTCAACTGCAGTCATGCGACTTGGAGGGGCTCATTCAAATTACTGGTTAGGAGTAACTCTGAAAAATTAGGAGTCAAATTAAATTAGTCTTCAAAGACAGCAGTGTGGGTTCATGTTGTAGAAATATGGCACCAAAGTAGCAAAGGTCCTCAAAGGACACACGCACATGGCCTCGCTATCAATAATTGAACCAGCTCTGTTAGCTGAGCTTCTAGCGCACACCTAGCAACCACATGCTCTCATGACACACTATATCTGTTGCCTTGGGAACAGCCTAGCCAGGTCAGAGCTAGTTGTTCACCTGAAGAGGACAGGAAGCTTTTTTTTATTTGTGTGATAAATAACCTACAGGGACAGCATTCACAGACATGCGATGAGATGGCAGATGGGTTTGCTTTCCTTTTAAGATTAAAAAAAATACACTAATTGCCACTAAATGACACCATCTGCTCAGCAGCTTTAAATCGGATTTTTCCTGCATGAAAACAAAGATTATTAGAACTTGACTGTGGTTAGGACATAACAACTGCTTTCAGAGCTGCAAATTTCCTTGGGCCATGCTAAAAGCTTTCCATTTCTCCCGTGAAACCCTGTTGTGAAATGCACAAAGCCAAAGATGTGAATAGGTTTCAGGAACAATGACAGACTTGGGCCTTCGGAGAGGAAAAAAGAGGGTGGGGGGTGGATGTCTGCTGCCACACATATATTAAATTCAAACAGCTCCAATAGCCCTCAAAGAGAAAGCGTTTACCCTGTCAACGGTACCTTGTGGCTGCTGATGATTCGTGGGGCGAGCAGCGACTGCTGGGTGCGAATAACCTTCTTTCGCTGCTTGAGCTCTGCAGTCAGCGCCTTCACCTTCTCCTCCTGCTTCTTCTGCTGAACCAGCAGCTGCTCACGCTCCCTGGCGGTGGCCGACAGCCTCTCCTCCGCCGCACGCAGATTAAGGGAGAGAAAGTCCTGGCAGTGGAGGAGCCACTCCACCGTGAGCTGAGCAAGGCGCAAGAGCTTCAGCAGAGCTGGGTCCACGGGGGTCTGGCACCGCTGGCATCGCTCCCCCTCCAAGCTGCAGAAGGTCACCATGCTGATGTGCTCCTGAAGGGCATCCACATCCAGCTGGCTCACTACTAAGTCTACATCCACTGCATTGATCCGCCGCCAGTCCACGCTTTCTCTGCGTGGGCGGAACTTGAAAGGGAGAAAGGCGGAGGTGGTGCTGGACGGAGTCATGCCTGGTGCAGATGATGCTGTGTGGCCGTTTACAATGTTCTGGCTGAGAGGAGAATTCAGAAGAGAGGGGATCCCAGCTGACGAGTGGGTCCCCTGGGTGTCACTGGTGTACGGGTAGTAGACTCCCTCGTGAAATGGCTGAAAAAAAGAGGAGAGAAAGGGATGGAGTCACATTAGCATCAAATACAATCACTAGGAGAGAGAAAGAAAGACATACATCAAGAAGCATCTGCTTCAGCGAGGTAACAGCAGAGCACAGATTCCACCACTTCCTGCTCAGCCTCCTTCTACCTATGTTGCTGCTGCTGTCCTCACACAGCCAATCGCCCTTACCATCTTCGACTGGTTTTGCCTTTACTCGAAGAAACAGATCAAAGAGCCGTCACTCCTCTCCGGTTCCGCCCCCGTTGCTAAAGCAGCACAAAGCAACAAGCAAGATTAGGCGTCCGCCCCGTTACCTTGGAGACAGCGGCGAGCGTCCCTGGGGAGAAACGTTATCTAAACAGCGACCAACAAAACGTGTCCACACAGTTCACAGTGCGCTGTAACCTGCAGTACATATCAGCTTATTCTGTACAACAAAGTCTCCTCACTCACCTCCATCTAAACGGTGTGAAACAGAATAAAAGGCGAGCTAACGTACCTGCGGAGGAGCACGAGGGAGGTTCAGGAAAACGTTTTCCATGCTAACAGCAAATACCGTTAATCTGTCGGCATCACGTCTCTAAACAGTCATTTCAAGTTCGGGCAGGCTTTTGTTTTATTCCCCTGCTTGATCTCAAGTCAAACAACAGCAGGCATGCTTGAGCTTGTCCTTCTTAATACTTCAAGTTACGGTTTAGAAAAAAAGAGAGACCAGAATAGCCGCTAGCTAAAAAAAAAAAGAACAACTCTTTGAAATCTCTTCATTCCTGCCTGTCTGGGTAACGGACATTTTTCTTAAGTCAATATTAAACCTTATTACACATCACTAACACCTGTGAATATTTAATCTTAAGTTTGACATTGGACTACCACATGAAAAATAACTTACCTGGAAGATTGTGATTTTAATTCGTGGCCTTTAAAAAAGTTTATTTTCGACGAGATCCCAGGCGATTTGAGGGTGACGTAGCTGCTGGTCTCCACATTCCTAAATGCCTGCTCCGAAAAGACAACGGTCAAGACAGACGTAATAAATACGACACTTCCTCGTTTGCCTTTAAAATAAAATGCCAGTGCAGCAAAGTTTAAGCTAAATTTAAATCTTTTTATTTCATTTTACAGAAACGCAGTAGTACAATGTTCCCAAACATTAGCCATATGCTATATGTTTAACCTCAGCTTTTTCTTCTGACTGAGCCGTCATTTTCTTTTATTTTTATGAATTACATTTTTAATTTTTAGCGATATTCAATTCAGGTTCATGTCTTATTTTACTGCGGAAACTCCAATTCACTGATCCGAGTAGAAACACATCTGTCACTCTGAAAAGTCTATTTCCAGCTTCGATACCAAAGCTTTCCAAGAATTACTACGAACCTGTACTTTGGCGAAGTAAACACATTATTTCCGGTGTTATCCGGCGTGAGTTTGACGCATCTCGCAGTAAGAAGTGGGGGAAGGGAGCAGCTGTTCAATTTGGGGCTGAATAGGGGTGTAGAATCTTCCCACTTCAGCGGAAGGAAATAACTTTAAATACATTTAAAAACACAAAAAGAGAGCACATTAGAAGAAATTGTGAGACACCTGCATATCTACAGGGACGCAAAAGCACCATGTATAGATGCATGTGAAGATTTTGAAAACTTTCCGATCCTCTAACCTACAGCATGCCAGGCTTGCAGAAAGACTCCACCTTGTGGTTGTTTCCTTTTGCCTTTTTTGTTTGCGTCTTTATTACATTATTTCGTCCTTTCTTTTCAGTTCCATAGAAGACGAAGGAACAAAAATAAAAACACACGTTCAAGCGGATTTGAACTTCTCGTGATCGTTGTTTTTTAACTAGACTTCGTAGATGCGTTAATGTTGTTATTTCTCCATCACATGTGAGGTATTTACAGCTGACGGGTTATACAGCAACATATAACACGGCCCCTGGGTCTTTGACTCAAAGCCTTTTGGTTTTGTGAGTTAATGATTTGTCTTTGTTTTTAAGGGATTTATGTTCTAAACATAGATTTATAGATTTGTGTTATTGGTTTGATAACCCCCCCCCCCCACACACACACACACACACACACACCCCTACCTTTCATTTGCATAGCATTTGTTATGTATAGTTTTGTTAGTTCCCAGTCATCATCTGTCTGGTCTTTCTGTGCCACGTCTCCTCAGTCAATCATGTCTTCATGTTTGTTGACCTTTTTGTCTGTGCCAAGTTTAAATGTCTCTGTGTTAGTCTAAATGTTATTTTGTTTTTGCATTATGTTCAGTTTGACCTTCTCTGACTCGTTATCCCTGATTTGTTTCTACTGTTTCCCACCTGTTTTATTTTACCCTCATTGTCTGCAGTGTATTTATTGTCTGAGTCATCCTCAAAAATGTGTTCCCTGCGGCTCTGTTCCTTCCTTGGTTAGTTAATTCCTGCCTCATTCTTTACTCGTGTTTTTGTGTTATAGGGTTATAGGTATATATAAGGTATAAGGAGACTCTTCGGCATTAAAGCTGCTTTTAAGCTAAGTTTAAGTCTTGTCTCACGACTCCTGTATTTGGGTCCACACTTTGCCTGCCACACAGCCATTCTTGAAATAGACTCCTATCCAAACAACATGTTTTTTCAGGGAAGACCTTAGTGGTAAACATGTCTGTGTCGCAACTTTTATTTGAGACATGTTGCTTCCATCAAATTCAGTATGGCCTTCTTTCTCTTCTTTTTTAAATGCTACATTTTCTCAGTTTGAACACCTGTTTTCTGTGTTGTACTGTGTTTGCAAAATAACTGAATCCTGTTTTTATTTAGATTTTTACACAGCAGACCAGCTTTTTGGATTTGGGTTGTAATATTGTGATGTTTGGTAGAATCTGTACTTTTTATTGTTTCTACCTGCTGTATTATGGGAGAGAGCAGAGATGCTGAATAAAAAATTGATGCCGAATAAAAAATTCTCTAGCTATATGGAATTTTAAAGTGTATTATCGAAACTTATTCTTTAATAAACTGAACCTCTAACATCTTTCAGTCCATTTCGATTATAGGGGTCACACTATTTACCGCATCGTCTCGCCAGCAGAGGTCAGTAGAGAACTGATCTGTGCTTATGCAGGCGCTTTGACTCTATTGTGGAGCAGCTGTGGAGGTTCCTCCCTCCTTCCCTCTTTGTCAGAGTAAATGTTGCCCACTGCTGCTGTGATGGAGAGCAGCTAGAAGAGGCGACACAGTCTGAGCATTAATAAGGAAGAACAACTCAGCAGGTCGGACCCGCACACACGCACGTCCTTGCACATGCAGGTCGCACTGTTTGTGTTCAAGGGAAAAACGCCAGTCATTCTTTCTATGTTTCTTTTAGACATAAGATTAAAGAAAGCTTCATATTCAGGTTGGTGCTGGCAGTGGCACAGTTTACTTAAAGAGTGAAACAAAGTATGAAGTTGTAATGAGTGTGCTGTCAAGAAGCAATCTTCACGGACACATCGCAGCATGTTGAACTCTCCATCTGAGTCCCACTGTTGGAATAGGCTGCCTGTGTGCTGTGTGCCATTTCCCCAGTCATTCCCCGGACAGCTTCAGTCGAGTCCTGATAAATAGAGATTTTAATTCCTCCAGACAGGGCCTGTGACTGTCAGGATAGCCTGAGGCGAGCAGGAGAGAGTCTCCTTGCAGGCTTTGCCCGGGTAAAGACAGCAAGCTCTCACCAGTAGCATCACAATGAGGTGTCGGAGTTCAGCTGTAGGACAAGACGCTGATGCTTGCTCGTGGACCCAAATCCCTGCTAATCTCACTTTTCTGTTTCCCCCCTCACCATTTCAGATGCTCCTACACTCACTGTAGCCTCCAGGCCAGAGTTACAATGTTTACTTGAAAATAAAAGCCACACTTTTGATGAGAGTTTATCAGAGTGTGTGTGAGAGAGAGACACACATGCAGGGGCAGAGAAGTTGTGGTGTTGCATTAGTCATGCAGTAAAAAAGGAGCAGGGGTGTGTGGAGGAAGAGGAGCAGACCTCTTGAGATGAGTAAGCACAGCCCTACACTCAATTTACTGCTTGATTTATGAGTTCATTTCCTGCATGAAGTTCTGTGGGGGTGAGGTGGTATATCTTTCCTACTATAGGTAGCAGTGGCTCCACTTCCAATTCCCCCATGAGACTCACTTTCACCACTGCAGGCCTTAGTGGGACTATAAATAATGGTTCCTGTAACAAGTGCACATTGAACACAGAAAGGAGAGGATGCCCAAACATCTTTATTCATGAAGGAGATTCTTATCTTCCGCTGCAGAGGACCAGATGGATTTAGACCACTCTGCATACCGAAACACTGCATGCACTTATGCTTACTGTATCTCTGCTCTCAGATAAGCATCTTGATATTCAGAATAATTGGACGATAAAAGGGCACCTTCTGTGTGTTTTTCTGTCTGTATTCAGGTGTGATTGTATGGAATTCATAAATCAGAAAGACAGAAACTGTCTAAATACTTAGACTTTTATTCTTGAACAGGAAAGTACTCAAAGGACGAGGTTAGCAAAGAAAAAGCTGAATAGTCAAGGAGAGGAAGAATGTAGACAGGAGTACTGGGAGGCTAACAATACGGCAAAGAGAGAGGTGGGAAAGACAAAAGAAAGGGAGTGAGCCATATGAAAGGCTGGACACTAAGGAAGGAGAAAAGGATCGACTGGCTGGGCAGAGACATTGAGCTGGAATGGATGTGCAACAGGTTAAGGTGATTAAGAATAGTGATGGAAATGCACTAACAAGTGAAGAGTGTGTTGAGAAGATGGAAGGAGTATTCTGAGGAGCTGATGAATGTAGAAAATGAGGAAGAGGAGAATGGATTGAGGACAGTTATTGAAGCCGGAAGTGCAAAGGATTAGTAAGAATGATGTGAGGGCAGCTATGATAAGGATGACATACTTGTAGAAGTATGGGAATGTCTAGAAGAGATGGTGGTGGACTTTCTTTTTTTTTTTTACGTAATCTTTGCGAGTAAGAGGATGCCTGAAGAATCAGGAAGTGTACTGGCTCTGATTTCCAAGAACAAGAGTGATGTGCCAGTGAGCTCAACAACAGAGGGATCAATTGATGAGCTATACCATGAAAAACCCAACATAATAAAATGAGTGAAAAGTGGAGAAAGACAACATCTATTAACATGTTTACTTTGAAAGAGAGAGCTTTGTGTTCTACCTGTTTGCAACAGTAAATAGGCAGTTCTTATATAGTGCTTTTCTTCTCTACCTTAGCAATTCAAAGTGCTTCATACAAAATGTCATTCAACCACTTTTTTCTATGTTTAAGTGCTTTCTGTCTAACATTCATGCTCTAGTAAACCAGCAGCCTTCTGATTAGTGGATGACCTGCTCTACCTCCTGAGCTACAGTCTCCCACTGAGCAAATGAATGAAATTACCGTTTAAAAAAAAACAAACAAACAAAAAACATAAAAGCTCTCACAGTACAATAGCTTTAAGACATGTAAACAAACAAACAAAACAACAATGGACCTTTTTTTTTTTATTAAATTTTGACTCAAATACTTACAGCAACAATGAATAGAAACTTGAATGTTAACATTCATATTTATCTAACTGTAGTTTTGGAGGACTGATGAGGTTATGGCAGGGTGAGGCATCTGTCAGCTGTCTGTTCATCCACAATTCACAAGAATCGCTCCTCATGTCACGTCTGCTGTGGAGTGGAGAGAGTGTGGACCCAAATGCAGAGAACGGAGATGGAGTGAGGAGATTAAT